ACATCACAGCTCACAGCAACCTCCAACTCCTGGGCTCAAGCGAGTCTCCTGCCTCTGCCTCCCAAGTAGCTGGGACCACAGGCGCCCACCACATCTGGCTATTTTTTGGTTGCAGCCATCATTGTTTGGTGGGCCCGGGCTGGATTCGAACCCGCCACCTTAGGTATATGTGGCTGGCACCTTAGCCACTTGAGCCACAGGCTCCAAGCCTCTTCAGTATCTTTTAAAGAATGACTTCTATGACTTGGCATCTGTAGCTCAGGGTGCCGTTCACATACACCGGGGCTAGCAGGTTCAAACTCAGCCCAGGCCTGCTAAACAATGACAACTACAACAAAAAAATAGCTGGGCGTTGTGGCAGGTGCCTGTAGTCCCAACTACTTGGGAAGCTGAGGCAAGAGAATCTCTGAAGCCCAAGAGTTTGAGGTTTCTGTGAGCTGTGATGCTACAGCACTCCACCAAGGGTGACATAGTGAGACTGTGTCTAAAAAAAAAAAGAATTATTACGTCTTTTCTGGTATCAGAAATATACATTCATTGTGGAAAAATTGTAAAATAGTGAAAAGTACTCTTTATGTGTTTGGTCCTTTTTCCATACAATCACCTATGTGTGTTTTGTCTCTGCTGAGGATGTGAGAAACAGATTACTGTATAACCTGCCTTTTTGTTTCACTAATCACCACAACCACCACAATATTTTTCCATATAAAATATTCTACAGCGTGTATATTTCTTTTCAAATGCCTTGCCAAAACAAAATGTGTTGAAATTAAGATTCCCTGTGCTGGAAAACTACCATGGGTGCACTTGATTGATGAGCCAGCAAATTTCTTATGGCTTGCTAAAAATTCTCAAAACTGCCCCATCTACAATGATATAGGGATAAAAGAGCTTTTGAGCCTCCTCATCTATCTGAGAGTACTACTAAGCTCTACCCCTCCCCCACCACTAGTGGAGATCTGGCCCATATTAAAACTAGATTGACACCATTCCAGCTACATGGACTGATCAGTAAGTCATGGTATCCACTTTATGAGGCAGCATTGTCATGTAGAGTCAACATTAGGGCACAGGAGGCTCACATGAATGCCCATGCCAGCCTCTGATTAACTGAATTCATTCACTAGAGTCAAGGATGTTTTCTGTAGGTGAAAGCATAAGCTATAGCTTTCAGGTATTCTTGCCACACTCTGGCATCCTGGCATAGCAAAGAGAGCATGAGTTTTTGGATCACACAGACCTGGGTTAACTCAGTAGCTGGGCATTGTCATATAAGTTACTTCACTTATCTGAACCTCAGTTTTACTTCTCTTTTGGGGTAGTTCTGAGAACCAAGGGAGAAACTGTGTACAAAATGCATAACTAAATGTTCGTGTCATCCTCTTCTATCTCCAGAAGGCATCCCTCAACAATATTATGTGGGCATCCCTTTTCTAAATGACCATGTATGAGTTCCAGGACTTCAGGACTTTACTTTCTGCATCTGTGCATTGGTTCCCAGCTCTGTAACTGAGATACTTTGAGGATTGGAACAAAACTCCCAGACTTCTTCTCAGTTATGCATTTTCAGGGGATTCTGAGGAATGAAAGGACTGCAAGTTTGCATCTCTAGGCTCTTGTAATTTGGCAACTTGGTAGCAGAAGTTCAGAGTGTCTTCAGAATGTGAGAAAATTAGGATTCATGGGCCCAAAGTAGTGAAAGCTGTTGACAAGATACCTAGTCTTTGTGCTTCCCAGTTTCCCAATTAGAGAAGGTATTCCTGTGTAATTCACACAGGCAGTGCCACATCTGCAAGTGTGCTTAACAAGTGACACAGCCTTTCTTTCTTCTCGGCATACTTGAAAGCCTAGTGCCTTCTGGGTTTTTTCATTGTTTCTGTTTGAACTCTCTCACCGCAGCTCTGTGGAAATACCTTACAAATCCTTTCCTTGTGGCCTTCACCTTAGCCTTGCACCAGAATAGAGAGATGATAGACCCAGACAAGTTCTGCAGCCTCTGCCATGCGACTTTCAACGACCCTGTCATGGCTCAACAGCATTATGTGGGCAAGAAACACAGGAAACAGGAGACCAAGCTCAAACTCATGGCACGTTACGGGCGGCTGGCGGACCCTGCTGTCACTGACTTTTCAGGTGAGGGGCCCAGAGCTGGACCAGGTCTGGACTACTATAGCTCCCCAGCCCATTAAGGCTGTGCTTTTCCTCCTTAGGTCTTCTAAAGCAGGATTTACAAACTTAGATGCTTATAGAAGCCAGACAGGAAATTTTTTTTTTTTTTTTTGAGACAGGATCTCACTTTGTCACCCAGGCTGCAGTGCAAATTATATAGCTTGCTACAGCTTCCAACATCTGGGCTCAAGAGATCCTCCTTGAGTAGTTAGAACTATAGGCACGCACCACCAAACTCAGTGATTTTATTATTATCATTTGTAGATACAGAGTTCTTGCTATGTTTCCCAGGCTGGTCTTGAACTCCTGGCCCCAAGCAGTCCTGCCTTGGCCTCCCATAGTGCTGAGATTTATAGGCATGAGCCACTGTGCCCAGCCAAAAAGAATTTTTCAATGCATAAGAGCCAGGAAGCACTGAAAAGTGAAAGCCACTGCTAGCCAGCTCTAGACAGTTATTACCTTATCTTTTAGTTTTTCAAATGACTCTGGAAAACCAGATTTGTATTCTTCTAATTTTTTTTTGACAGAGTTTTACAATGTTGCCCTTGGTAGAGTGCCCTAGTGCATAGCTAACAGCAACCTCAAACTCTTGGGCTTAGGCAATTCTCTTGCCTCAGCCTCCCAAGTAGCTGGAACTACAGGTGCCCACCCCAACGCCAACTATTTTTTTGTTGTAATTGTCATTGTTGTTTGGCAGTCCCAGGCTGGGTTGGAACCCACCAGCTCTGGTGTATGTGGTTGGCGCCCTAACAGCTGAGCTACGAGCGTGAGCCCATTCCTCTGATTTTTAAATGTGCTACTAAATTAAAACATTTTTAAGGCATATGTGAATCAAACTTGTCTGCAAACCAGATTCAGGACTCTCAGTAGATTAGGTTAGAACCTCATGTTCTTTTTTTTTAGGCACAGGGTCTCCCTCTTGTTCAGCCTGGTTTTGAACTCTGGAGCTCAAGCAATATAATCCCTTTAACTTCCCAGAGTGATAGGATTACAGGTGTTAGCCACCATGCCCAGCCTAGAACCTCGTGTTCTGATAGTTCTTTATTACTTCACAAAGTTAGTTAATACTTCACAAAGGTAGACTCCCTAAAGAAGAAAAGGTTGCTTGATGTCAGCAGAATTTAAACCCCTACATTAAAGCTTTGCCTCCATTCTCTGGTTATGATTATATTAAGAAGGAGATACCAAAGTATACACACACACACACTTATGATAGTTCAACTTTGTAATTTTTTGACTTTATGAAAGTCAAAAAAGCAATAGGCATTCAGTAGAAACCATACTTTTCTTACATTGCTGGGCAACATCAGTGATTCTTACCTCCCAATCAGCCACACATTTTTGAATTATGATATTTTTTATTTCTGATGGGTCTATCTAGACGTAACCCCACTGTAAATCAAGGAGCATTTATGGGCCAGGCATGGTGGTTCATAACTATAATCCCTGCACTCTGGGAGGCTGAGGATGGAGAATCATTTGAGCTTGGACGTTCAAGACCAGTCTGAGCAAGAGCAAGACCCCATTTCTACTAAAAATAGAAAAATTGTCTCAGCACCTGTAGCTCAGTGACTAGGACATCAGCCATATACACCAAGGCTGGCAGATCGGAGCCCATTACTAAACAACAATGACAACTGCAACCAAAAAATAGTCGGGTATTGTGATGGGCACCTGTAGTCCCAGCTCCTTAAGAGAATCACTTAAGCCCAAGAATTTAAGGTTGCTGTGAACTGTGATGCCACAGCATTCTACGGAGGGTGGCAAAGTGAGACTCTGTCTCTATAAAAAAAAGAAAATAGAAAAATTAGCTGGGTGTTAGGATGATCACGTATTGTCCCAGGTACTCAGGAGGCTGAGGCAGGAGGCTCACTTCAGGCTGCTGTGAGCTAGGCTGACACTATGGCACTATAGCCTAGGGCAACTGAGTGAGACTCTGTCTCAAAAAAAAAAATTGTATGTATTTTAACAACACTTTGTGACATGCTAATGCATGTTTAGAATACCCTAGTCTCTTCTTATCTATGGGTAATATGTTCCAAAACCCCAATGGATATCTGAAACTACAGATAGTACCAAACCCAAAATATACTGGTTTTTTTTTTCTATATGATAACCAAGATGCCTATGCTGGACAGAAGGGGGATGGTTCACATCCTTGATAGGACAGAGTAGGACAGCGTGAGATTTCATAGCACCTCTCAGAATGGTACATAATTCAAAACTATGAATTGTTTACTTCTGGAATTCTTCATTTAATATTTTCAGATGACAGTTGACTATAGGTAACTGAAAACAAGGAGAGCAAAACTACAGATAAAGGGGACTGCTATAATTATTTCAAGTAGAATTTATTTCTACAGAACAGAAAGGCCTAACATCATTTCAGATGAAGTGAACTAATTTCTTTTACTTACTGGGTAAAAACTCAGTCTGTAAAATAAGAAATATATTAGCTTCTTTATGGTAAAGATACCTTTCTGTAAAGTAAACAGTTTTGTGGAATTAAGTTGAATAACATTTATGATTTTGTGCTTTATTTTTTTGAGACAGTGTCTCACTATGTCACAATAGAGTGCTGTAGCGTCACAGCTCACAGCAACCTCAAACTCAAACTCTTGGGCTTAAGTGATTCTCTTGCCTCATCCTCCCAAGTAGCTGGGACTAATGGCTTCTGCCACAATGCCTGGCTATCTTTTGGTTGTGGTTGTAATTGTTTGGCAGGCCCAGGATGGGATCGAACCTGCCAGCTCCAGTGTATGTGACTGGTGCGCTGCCCGCTGAGCCACAGGCACCTAGCCTATTTTGTTTTTTATTTTTTAAGACTTCATTCATGGGTGGTACCCATAGCTCAGTGGGTAGGGCACTGACCACATACACCCAGGCTGCCAGGTTCGAACCCAGCCTGGGCTAGCTAAACAACAATGACAACTGCACGGGCAGCACCTGTGGCTCCGTGAGTGGCGCGCTGGCCCTATATGCCAAGGGTAGCAAGTTTAAACCTGGCCCCAGCCAAACTGCAACAAAAAAATACCCAGGTGTTGTGGTGGGCACTTGTGGCCCCAGCCACTCAGGATGCTAAGGCAAGAGAATCATCTAAGCCCAAGAGCTGGAGGATGCTGTGAGCTATGACGCCATGTTACTCTACGGAGGGTGATGGAGTGAGAGTCTGTCTCTTAAAAAAAACAAAACAAAACAATGACAACTGCAACAAAAAAAAGTAGCCGGGCATTGTGGCAGGCACCTATAGTCCCAGCTACTTAGGAGGCTGAGACAAGAGAACCGCTTAAGCTGAGCTGTGATGCCATGGCACTCCACCAAGGGTGACATAGTGAGACTCTGTCTCAAAAAAAAAAAAGAATAAAAGACTTCATTCATATAGTTGTTTCTGAAAATTCAGGCATTAAGAGAATTTGAGATCAGGCGCAATGGCTCACACTGTAATCCTAGCACTCTGGGATGCCAAGGCAGGTGGATTGCTTGAACTCAGGAATTCTAGACCAGCCTCAGCAAGAGCAAGACCCTGTCTCTACTAAAAATAGAAAAACTGAGGCAAAAAGACTACTTGAGCCCAGGAGTTTGAAATTGCTGTGAGTTGAAATTGCTGTGATGCCATAGTACTCTACCCTACCCAGGGCAACAGTTTGAGACTCTGTCTCAAAAGAAAAATAGAAAGTCTTGCTAAGTAAAGAATATTAGATTTTTCCAGATATCCTGTTTTGGTTTCTGTAACTTACATTTGGCCTTGTTGGGTTCTTTTTATTTTTATGTATTTATTTTTTTTTGAGACAGAGTCTCTTGTTTGTCGCCCTCAGTAGAGTTCTGTGGCATCACAGCTCATAGCACCCTCAAACTCTTGGGCTTAAGCAATTCTCTTGCCTTAGCCTCCCAAGTAGCTGGGACTACAGGTGCCCACCACAATGCCTGGCTAGGTTTCTTTTTAATTTAAACCAGCAAAGTATCTCCCCTGCCCTCAGAAATAACTTGTTGATTAAAACTGGAAAAACAGGCTCAGCTCTGGTAGCTCAAATGGCTAAGGTGCCAGCCACATACACCAGAGCTGGTGGGTCAGAATCCAACGCGGGCCTGCCAAACAACAATGACAACTACAACCAAAAAATAGCCAGGCATTGTGGTAGGCACCTGTAGTCCCAGTTACTTGGGAGGCCGAGTCAAGAGAATCACTTAAGCCCAGGAGCTGGAGGTTGCTATGAGCTATGATGCCACAGCACTCTACCCAGGGCAGCGGCTTAAGGCTCTGTCTCAAAAAATAAATAAATAAATAAGTAAAATTGTTAAAACATCCGGTGACAGTTGTAAGTTATGTTAAGGACTTGGGCCTTTATCTAACAGCATTGGGAAACCATTGCCAGTTTAAGCATCGTGAGTAGATGGTTTGGAACAGGGTAAAAGAGTAGTGGAGAGAACCAGCTATGAGACCATAGTAGTAGGTCATGCTAAAGGAGATGGGAGCTTGGGCTCGGTACCCATAACTCAGTGGTTATGGCCCCGGCCACATACACTAGAGCTGACAGGTTCAAACTCACCCCAGGCCTGCTAAACAGCAATGACAACTACCAAAAAAATAAATAACTGGGGCACTGTGGTAGGCACCTGTAATCCCAGCTACTTGGGAAACTGAGGCAAGAGAATCACTTAAGCCCAAGAGTTTGAGGTTACTGTGAACTGTGATGCCACAGCATTCTACCAAAGGTGACATGATGAGACTCTATCTCAAAAAAAGGAAAAAAATTCTGATGTGAAGCCATCTGGTCTTGGGCTTTTCTTTTGGGGGAGATTTCTTATAGTTGATGCTATCTCAGAACTTGTTATAGGCTTGTTCAACATTTCCACTTCTTTCTGGCTAAGTCTAGGAGGGTAGCATATTTCCAAGTATTGATCTATTTCCTTCAGATTTCCAGGCTTCTGAGAATAGAGTTTTATGTAATATTCATTAAGGATTT